AGTTTTCTTTTTGGGTGATATATTTGTCTGGTTTTGATATGAGGGTAATGGAGGCTTCATAGCATGAATCCTTTTAGATCTTTGGAAATAGTCTGAGTAGGATGGGCATTAGCTCTTCTTTAAAAGTTTTGGGGACCAGCAGATAGTGTAATGTTTACATCACTGACTCCCATATAGTTTATTGTGGTTCGAGTCCTGGACCCAGCGGTTTAAAACTCACACCAGGCACTTGTGCACATGTGCCCAAGATCAATCCCAAGAGGAGAAAGGAGAAGAAGGGAGGTGTGTTGATCCCCTCAGGTGGTGATTTCTCATTTTCTGTCTCTGTCTCTCTCTCTCTGCCTCTCTGGTGAGTGCATGCGCCCTATAGAAAACATCTCTCTTAAAAAAAAGGTTTGTAGAATTCAGAAGTGAAGCCACTGGGACCTACGTGCCTTTTTTTTCCCCCTGGTAGCTTATTTCCCGTATGTTATCCTCATGTCTTTCTTTCTTCTCTCTCTCTCTCTCTTTCTTTCTTTCTTTCTTTCTTTCTCTTTCTTTCTTCCTTTCTCTTTCTTTCTTTCTTTCTTTCTTTCTTTCTTTCTTTCTTTCTTTCTTTTTCTTTCTCTTTCTTTCTTCCTTTCTTTCTTTCGAGAGGATTTTGCTATAGGACATGTGCACTCGCCAGAAAGACAGAGAGAGACAGAGAGATAGAAAGTGAGAAATCACCCCCCCCGGGGGGCCATGCCACAATCCCTTCTCCTCCATTCTCCTCCTCTCAGGATCTTGGGCACGCATGTATACGTACCCGGCGTGAGTTTAAGTCGCCTCCTCTCAGATCTTGGGCACGCATGTATACATACCCGGCGTGAGTTTAAGTCTCCTCCTCTCAGGATCTTGCGCACGCATGTCTACGTACCCGGCGTGAGTTTAAGTCGCCTCCTCTCAGGATCTTGGGCACGCACGTACACGTGCCTGGCGTAAGTTTAAGCCACCGGGTCTGGGACTGGACCCGAGGTTGGCTACATGGGAGTTTAGCGACATAGCCATTACGCTAACTGCTGGACCCCGTGTTATCCTCATCTCTTTGGGTGACTTTTTTTCAATTTGGTGCCTTGTCTAGGTCTGAGGTTTTTCCTTCTAAATCAGAGATCTTGCCTTCTGCATGGTTTAATCTGCTATTAATACTGTTGAGGGAGGTTTTGATTTCTTGTATTATGGTCTTTATCTCTGGAAGCTCTATTTGATTTTTTTTGTTGTTGTTGTTGTCTATCTCCTCCTTTAAGATGGGGGATAATTTCTTCATCTCCTGGAGTTCCTTGCCTCTTTTCTCTTGTATCTCATTTAGTTTTGTCACTATGGATGGCCTGAATTCTTTTTCTGACATATCTGTGAGTTCTATTGTGCTGTCTCTGGGTAATGAAAAATTGTTGTGTTCCCTTGAGGAAAAATCATTCCCTTGTTTGTTTCTTTTCTTCCCCCCCCCCCCATTTTTCTTGTGCCTCTCTGCTGGTTTTTAGTTATCTGATGAATTTCACACTTCTCCCTACTGTTTTGATTGGGTTCTTTAGAGTCCGTGGAAAAGATGTGTCTTTCAAACAGAGTAGGGTATATCTAGCCAGGTTCAGGTGCTTGGATCCTCTAACAACCTCTCAGGGTGAGATATACCTTGAACTGAGCTGGAAATATATAACTACAGAAAGAAGTGCAAGTTGTATGTACCACATACAGTATGTGGGCTGATGAAATGAGGAATCTGAAAGAGCCTGGCTCCCTGGAACTCAGTTGTGTAGGTTGTTGCAATTTGGGAAGGTACTGGAGGAGCAGTAGGGCATGAGAGGATCCAAAGGCCCAGTCCTGCTTAGTAGAATAAGGACAGGGAGCTTTAGAGTTGTTAACCTCTAGTGGCTGCCTCTCTGGGACCCTACAGTGCAGGCTAGTGGAACTTGGAAAGGCACTAGAGGAGCAGTGGGACATGAAAGTCTTATGGCTTATTTTGTGCTATAGTAGAAACATTGAGTAGCTGTGGCAGGGAATCTATGTTCCAAAGTCTAAGGTATTTACATTTTAGCTCTTTCTGGAAAAACGTTTGCTGGGTTGTGCAGGTAGTAAACAAATCTGCAGGATAAATTTCTAGTCATGACCATCTGTCATATTAATATTGCTTTAGTATAAGGTCCTCAAATAGCATTTATGACTCAAAAAGTATACATATTAAAATATTTTATATCCACTTAGTCCATGTCACTTGAAAAATGTCATGCATATATCCAGCAGCCACATTGGAGTAATTTTTTTTTCCACATGCAAACCAGTTCACCATTATCACTAATTAAGATTTGTACTAATCTTGTATTTAAAAAGGAACAGCAACATTATTTTATATCTAAAATTTTCTGTTGGAGAGTTTTTAAAAATTTTCTTTTATTAAATTCCTGTTCTTATTCCTTTTTTTCTACCAAGGTGTTTAGGTTTTTCATAAGAAAATTCTTTTCTTTTTCTTTTTTTTTTTAAGAGATTTTTGCTATAGGGCATGTGAGCTTGTCAGAGAGACAGAGAGGAACAGAGAGACAGAAAGCAAGAAATCACTTCCCAGGGGGGATGGCCACACCACCATCCCTGCTCTTCCATTCTCCTCTTGAGATTTAGGGCATGCATGCACATTTGCATGGCATGAATTTCAAGCTTCTGGGTCCGGGACCTAAACCACAGTTCACTATGTGAAAGTCCAGCAACACAACCACTATGCTATTTGCTGGTCCCAAGAAAATAGTTTTCTAAGAACTCTTTATATATGAAAGATATCCATCATCACAGATATTGCAAATATTTTCCTCAGCTTATCATATGACTTTAAATTCATTTATAATATGTTTTGTCTTTTGAGTTTCATGTAGTCAGATATATCAACTTCTTCTCTTTACAATTTCCACCTATGCTGATACACCTATAAAATCGTTCCCTACTCTCTGATGATTATTTCAATAATTTCTTCTGGTAACTTGTGGTCTAGTTTTTTACACATAAATATTTAATGTAACCAAAATGTATTTGATATAATAAGGGAGATAAGGATCTATGTAATTTTTCTAAGGAGTGAGCCAGTCATCCCGATATTATTTACTGAATCTTTCATATGTTCCCCACTTACGTGACTAGTCATAACTATATTTCTGAATTCCAGCTCATACTGAATCAGGTTCTGAGCACACTGCTAAAGTCAGACGGCTTGGGTCTGAGTCTCAGTGCCGCAGCTTTGCCCAGATTGCTTGATCGTGATATGGTTGGGGAGATTAAATAAGGTAACTTAAAAAGTGTTTTGCACAGTATCTGGTACCTAATATTAGTTCAAAAAATGTTACCTGTGATTTTTCTTTTTGCTATTATCTATTTATTTCCCCCCAAGGGTGTTGTGTTTTAATCACATGCTCTTTATTATTTGATTTACAGAAATAAGGCAAGTTCCTCATTATTATAGTTCTTTTATAAAACTTTTTGGATATTTTCATGCATTCATCCAGATAAATTTGAAAATAATTTTGCCAAAATAAAAATAGTTTTGATGGTGTGTGACTGAAACTGCATTAACTGCATGGAATAAGGGCAAGATGGGTGTGTGTCTGTCCTTTATTGAGCCTTTCAATTCAGGGAAATGATCCAGTAGTCTCTATGTTCAAGTTCCTTTCATGTCTTCTGTAAAGTCACCATAATTCTATACAATTGTGTATAATTTATCAATGCAATTACTAAAGGTTCACATTTTAAATATATATAATTTTTTTGGAGAGGATTTTGCTATAGGGCACGTGTGCTCGCCAGAAAGACAGAGAGAGATAGAGAGACAGAAAGCGAGAAATCACCCCCCAGGGGGAATGGCCATGCCACAATCCCTTCTCCTCCATTTTCCTCTTGGGATCTTGGGCATGCATGCACATGTGCCCGGCGTGAGTTTAAGCCACTGGTTCTGGGATTTGAACCGTGGTGGACTACATGGGAGTCCAGTGACATAGCCATTATGCCAACTGTTGGGCTCAACATTTTGAATATTTTAAACTCCTTCTATTTTTCTTATCTTATTGAATTTGTTAGAACTTTCTAAGAATTATTTTAATTTTGTTATTGTTACTATTATTTTCCAGTTTTTATCGGAGAGAGAGAAAGAGAGATGAGAAAGCAAGCCACCAGGTCTGGGACTTGAACCATGGTCAGCCATGTGGGAGGCCAGTGCCTTTAACCATCATGCCACCTGCTGACCCCAGAACTTTCAAGGAATATTAATATTAGGTTGTCAGTAAAGTCATGATGTGTTTTTCTATGCAAAAATGCATCGTGACTTTCCTGACATGCAAATAGTTCTGACAGGAATTCTCAAAAATTTCTCTTTTAATGACAATGCCTCTAATACTTCATTGGTGGGTATAGTGAAAATCCCTTGTTTCTCTAATAAACAGTGTGAGGTTAAGAAGAGCACTCCTTTTTCTAGTTTAATAAGACTTTAAACGCTGGTTTTAGAATCTCAGTTTCATCAAATGTCCCTGAGCATCTACAGAGAGGGTCAAATGGTCTTCTGCAGAACATTGACACTACAAAGAGCTGGTCTTGGCCGATGAACAGGAAGAAAGCGGAGGAGCAAGGGCAGAGGGCGCTCTGGAGCTGGGGCCCAGGCATGGGCGGAGGCACCCCTGAAGGTGCAGCATCATGAGACGTGAGGAGGCAGGGGTCCTCGCGGAGATGAGGCTGAAGGGCGAGCAGGGGCCGGGACATACAGGGCTCCTGAAGCCAAACGCCTGGAATTTACTAAGAAAATGAGCTCCACGTGCCATCACACCCATTTCCACAGTAAGAAGGGAAAAGGATGAATTAATTTTGAAACAAATTTGACAGTACATACATTGATGAGCATTAAAAGTAGTTCCATGTAGTCACTTGCAGGGAAATAACCAAGACCTCTGGAACCTATAACATTACCATTCAGAGAAGTGCAGTTATGTTTACATATTATTTCTCACGCATATCTGTACCTGTTCTGGGGTCTTGTGAGAAAAAAGAAGAGCTGAGCCTCCTTCTTCTACCTTCGGGTAGTCAGGAAATGTGCCAGTCAGATTTCTGCAGAGGGAAAAAGGCCAAGTAAAATAGGAGCAAAGGCAGTCCTGTCTGTTACACACTCCTTCATTGATTTGCTGATGTTCATTTACATGAGCAACGGCTATTAAGGGAGGGGGCTCCCTGTGGAGGGAGGCCCGGATGACGCGGTCAAGGACCCTCAGTTGCAGGTTTCCTTCCGCTGGGGAACTGTTAGTCTGAGACAAACATCTCTCTATATACATATATATATAAAACAAGAAATGGAAAATTGTCAATGATAACATGTATGATTAAGCTACTATACAGTGCATTCTGGATGGGAAATCACATTTTGTATTCTGTGTTGATCCTCGGTGAATGAATATAAGATAAATAAATTGTATATCAAAAAAACTTTAATAAAATATTTTTCAAGTTAAAAAAAAAAACAGACTGTACTTTTCTCCCTCTTTATTCTTTTTTTTCAATATTGAGATGCTCTGTGCATGAGTTAAGACTAAAGACAGAAGCACAAATCATTTCTTCCTGTTTAAAATTCAGGATAAACACAGGATTTTGAAACTAAACAGAAGGATGGAGTTGTACAAATTACAAATCTAGTAAGAGTGTATGAAATACACACATGTGTTTTAGGAAGTCCAAGGCCCTAGATTTTAGGGGTTCCAAATAGTACTTTTTCTGTAGCCACATAATTCTCAAGTTTAAAAAAGCAGACTTTGAAACTACATGCTGAGAGCTTCCAAAGGGATATGCAGTTAATATTTCTAAGAGAAACTGACTTAAACTTAAGTGTTACATTTATCTGACATATAGAAAGAAAAGACTACCTGTCAAGTTAGCTCCATGAATTCTCAGAGGGATAGAACTGAAGACCTGGAGGAAACTGCCACATTTAAAAAGACTCTACAGTAGTGCTTCTGGGGCTCTTCGCTTTAAGAGTTCTTTACGCTGGGGCCAGCAAGTAGAGTGGTGGTTAGGTTGCTGGACTCCCATATGGCTGACCACAGTTCAAGTCTTTGAACTGGTGGCTTGAAAATCATGCTGGGCCTGTGTGTGTGCATGCCCCAAATCCCAGGACAAAAATGAAGAAGGGACTGTGGCATGGCCATCCCCCAGAGGGTGATTTCTCACTTTCCCTCTCACTGTCTCTGTGTGTCTCTCTCCAGTGAGCACACAGCACCCTATGGCAGAAACCTTAAAAAAGAAAAAGAGTCCTTTACACTCAGTACTTTTTGAGGACCCTAAAGAGCTTCCTTTATAGGAACCAGCAGTTAGCGTAATGGCTATGTCGCTGGACTCCCACGTAGTCGACCGCAGTTTGCGTCCCGGACCCAGTGGCTTAAAACTCATGCCGGGCGCATGTGCGTGTAATGCCCAAGATCCCGAGAATGGAGGAAAAGGGATTGCGGCGTGACCATCCCCCCTGGGGGGGGGTGATTTCTCGCTTTCTGTCTCTATGTCTCTCTCTGTCTGTCTGGCGTGCACATGCGCCCTATAGCGAAAACCTCTCAAAAAAAATAAAAAAGAGTTTCCTTTATGAGAATTATAGCTATTGATATTAAAACTGAGAAATTTCTAAAATATATATTTTTACTTAACATAAATAACATTTTAATGAATGGTAAATGTCTTGTTCAAAATAAAAAAATTAACATTAAATTAAATGAAGAGTATTGCTGTTTTGCATCTTTCCAAATCTCTCTCTCTCTTTATTTATTTTTAAAGATTGTTTTTGTCATATGTATTCACTGGGGAAAGAAATAGAGAAAGTGAGACCTTGTCCACACCCCTCCAGAGGAGTGGCCACACTGCAATCCTTTCTCTTCCATTCTCCTCCTAAGATTCTGGGCGCGTGTGCACCCCCCCCCCCCAAGAATGTTTTTCAAGCCACCAGGTTCAGGACTCGAACCACGCAGTTGGCCATATGAGATCCAGTGCCTTAAATACCACACCATCATCTGGCCCTTTAATATCTGGCTTACTGGAAGTGGGTTGGATGCTCATATCTCTGCGTCTGCATTCCAAACCTGTGCAGCATACTGCTTCAGTTGAAGTGTATTAAGAAAATCTGGCCTCACCCAGATACGTAAACAGAAAAGGGAAGAAAAAATTTTTTGTTTGTTTGTTTTTTTCTTTAATTATCCATCTACTTCTTCCGTGAGCAAGAGTGACAGAGAAAGAGATTTTTGCTATAGGGTACGTGTGCTCACCAGAGGGACAGAAAGAGACAGAGACAGAAAGCAAGAAATCACTCCCTGGAGGGATGGCCACACTGCAATCCCTTGTCCTCCATTCTCCTCCTGGGATTTTGGGCACACACACACAGGTGCCTGGCATGAGATTTAAGCTGCTGGTTCCAGGACTTGAACCATGGTTGACTACATGAGAGTCCAGTGACACAAGCATTATACCCTCTAGGGACTTCTTTTTGGTCTAGGGTCATTTTTTTCCCCAAGACCCCAGTGGGGTGTTGATACTGCAATCCCCCGAGCCTCAGCCAGCACTGGGTCATGGGCTGCCCAGAGTACTAGGGAGGTTTCCGGAGGCAAACGTGGAGCCTTCCCATGTGGGTAGGCCTCACGGAGCACTGCGTTTTACTGCTGTGTTATCCTCTAGCCCTGGGAGGAACAGCTCAGATACCTTAATATTCTGCTTTGATTTGACACCACGACTCAACAAAGCAGCTTCCTGAAGGCTTTCTGTGATGTGGAAGCTGAAACTGTTCCCAGGAACTTGCTCTCTCAGGCGCATCAAAAGCCATTGCTCTATCTTGCACATGGGATACATTTTTCATAAGAATTTTTAAATTTTATTTAATCATCCTTGTTTTAAAATTTTCTACAAGCCATGCATGCTCACCAGAGAGAGAGACAGACAGACAGAGAGACAGAGAGAAAGTGAGAAAACAAGCTGCCAAGTCTGGGACTCGAACCACAGCTAGCTGTGTGGGAGGCCAATGCCTTAACCAGCACACCACCTGCTGGCTCCAGAGTAAATCTTTTAACAAAGTGGGATTTGGTTACATCAGGACATGGCAATCTGGAAAGCTATGGTTCATTGAGTGACGAGACTCTTCCTGACGTGTGCGTCTGGTCATTTCAGAGCCGCGCCCGGTACCCGCTGATGGACAGCCCCAGGCGGGTGCTTTTCAGAGCTGCGCCCGGTACCCGCTGATGGACAGCCCAGGGTGGGAGCTTTTCAGAGTCGCACCCGGTACCCGCTGGTGGACAGCCCAGGGTGGGTGTTCTCACTCTCACGCGGTGAACACGAGTTTTCCTAAGTTGTAGTTTTTGCTAGAAACCTCAGATGTAGCCATTGGCAGCAAATTCTGTCAGATGTTTTCCTTCAAGTTTGTTCACTCATTCTTGAGAAAATATACCCTAAGTGTAGCACAAGTCCAAATAGCCAGTTTGTCAGTTGTTTTTGGAGTAAAAATGATGTTCCCTGGAAAAGTGGCTGGCTCAGCTCAAAACTTAACCACCTCACGAGAGTGAGGCTGTTTCCTCCTCGAGACGACCATCGTCCGGAGGTGTGCCACGGGAGGGCTTTGTGGGCACCTCTGATTTTTGTCCTGCAGAGTAGTAAGGGGCTATGTATTTCAAAGGTAAGATGATTTTTCACATTGCCAGTGGGTTCAAGTATGATATATAGAGAGAGAACGCAAGAGAGGGCGAGAGACGGTGAGAGAGGGCGAGAGAGGGCGAGAGAGAGAGCGAGAGAGCGTGTGCATCCCCCAGTGGCGGGCGGTCATGCTGTAGTCCCTTCTCCATCTTGTTGGGTGTGGGGCAGGCCTGCACACATGCCTGGAGTGTTTTTCAAGCCGCCAGGCCAGGATTTGAACTGCAGCTGGCTACATCAAATCCAGCTGCTGCTGCATATTCTCCACCCATGGGGTCTGGAGCTCACAGGGAAACCTGCCCCTGTGCCAGGGCTGCCACATTACTGTATGCACATTGACGCTGCTCAAATGACTGGAATTCGAGACGGGGTGGGGGAGGCTCCCAGCCCTGGGAGGCCCCACAGCCTTGCACGTGGCAGGGCTCAGCCTGCACATGCTCTGGGGGGCGGAGAGAAGGGATCGACACCTCCAGAGATCCTTCATCCCGCTCTGATAAGATCACTGGTCTGGGTCCCCTGGGCTCCCGCCTGGAGGAGGAGGCGCCTCATCCCTGGAGGTGTCCCTGGAAAGTTCACAGGTGCTCGGCGTCTCTCTTTAACAACCAGCCAGCCAGCTTGTGTTTTCTCCCCCTCCAGCCTCTCACTTCTCACTCTCTGCTGCTTAGAGAGTTGCTCGCATTCCCTGTCTCACATTCCCTGTCTCCACTGCCTAGCTCGCCAGGGAACTGTGGGTGGAACTGTGTGGCCACCCCACCCAAGGTCAGTCCAAGTCCTGACCCCAGCTCCTCAGGGTAGGGCCTTGGTGGGAAGTTGGTGGTCGCGGATGTGATTGGTTAAACCGAGGCCACGCTGCAGTGCGGGGGCTAACCCAATATGGCGGGTGTCCTTATAAAGAGAGGAAAATTGCAGGCATGGCCCGGCAGGCATAGAGGGAAGACGCTGCGATGACAGGGATGAGACGGCCATCCTCAAGCCAAGGAGAGGCCTGGGGCACATCCGCCCTCAGCTCTCCGAAGGAGCCAGCCCTGTCGACACCTGGACTTGGGGTGCCCAGGCTCCAGAACGGTAAGAGACCCAGTTTCCATGGCTGAACCCGCCCAGGCTGTGGTGCTGTACACGGCAGCCCTGGGAAATGACAGCCCAGCCACGAGTCCGAGGCCACTGCTTTGGTTCACTAGGTCACTCTCTAGCAATGGTCTGATGGAGGCCCTTTTCTGGAAGGTCCTCTCTGCTGGGCCTCCGCAGCTCAGCACCCTCCTGCCTCTCCGACCACCCCTGCCCTGTCTCCTTCAGGAACCCCTTCTCCCACAGAGGGGCTCTGTGCTCGGCGACCTGGGAGCAGCACTGGGGCTCTCCGATGCCCTCTGTGGGCGCTCTGTCCCAGGGCTCCTCCTGGGCCTCCT